ACTAGACCCATAGGCCCGACGACCACCTGTAGCCCCGGCGCCCAAGAGCAGGTTAAAGTGCCCCTTGTTAATACTGCTCTTATAGTACACTGTAAACTGCTTTGTCCTACATATAGTTGTATTACAAAAAATGTTTGTGTTGCTGTTGGCTAACATTTTAAGTTTGCTAGAGATACGTTTAGAGATTTTGCTTTCTGGGTTACCATCTCTGTTACAAGCTGTTGCGTAACGTGAACAGAACTACCTTTCATAATCCGACAGGGTTTTGAACAAAGAAATTACACCACGTCCTTTCGGAGGCTCTGAATGATCTTGATCCCTTCTTACAATTTATTTCAATCAAAAGACGTGACTTGTTGATATGATTTCGGTAGCTGTTGCAGTGCATTGATGGAACACTGATGAAATAAAATATGTATATTTCTTATTAATTAATTTATTGTTTTCTAGTTAATTTGTCAAATTTGTGGTCCTTTAAACATTTTTAGCCCTTTTGTCTGGTAAAACGCTGAAAAATGCTATTACTAATTTTAATTTGGGCTTAATTTGTCATCAGAATGATGATGGTGTGTGGTCACCTCCCATGATACTCGTCTCATGACAACAAGCTTAAATAAAACATGTAATGTCTAAATATTACTGAAATTTATTAATGTGTATTTACTGAAAGTAAGAGCTGAATAGACCACAAAAGTGGACTGAAAGCTTAAGGAGTTTTTGTTTGTCTTATTTCACTTCACAAAATATTTGGAGGATCTCAGGGACAAACACTACCATTACAAGTGGTTCCTGAAAAAACCCATTTGAGTGTATTAAGGAGGTACTTAAGCATTGAATGTTCTTTCATATGTGGGTTTCCCACAACTAAAAAAACAGGTTCCTGATATTTAAGAAATTGTCAGTTTTATTACTGTTATTACCGCCAACAGGAGCTGAATGTATGTATGCCCACTAAAATAGGTGCCAAATCCAATCTGTGACATGCTGGATCCAGATCTGGCTTGTTCTGGCACAAATTCAGCTCTGGTCCCACATAATTCCACATACTTTATTAAGCTAAATTAAATTTTTGTCATGAATGAGTTGGCTTGCTGACTATTAAACATCTTCAGCAACTGTAATTTAAAATCTGAGAAAAGACCCACATCATTTAAACATATATTACTTTTGACAGACATCCTATGAAGGAATGTCCAAATCTATTAAACATGTAATCATTTTTGTCCACCATCTTATGTTGTGGTCGTACCATCCCCAGTGAGCAATGTACGAAAACGAGTGTTTATAGACACCGGCACAGTGCGACATCCCACTAACTGCCGCGACATCTCCTTCTGTTAATCATCTCAAGAAAACGTTGCTTTTTGTTTTTTGTTCTTTGTGTCGTAGAAACATTGCGGCTTGTTAGAAAAATGGGCATGTGATGAAAACATCTTGCAGATGGAAGGCATGACATTTAGATTATTATATAACAATCTATGTCTACAAAACAGCAGTAGTTTGTTCAGGGTGGTAAGGCATTTCCTCAGTGAGTCACTTGAGCCTCAGTTCTCCCTGCTCACACCCCATTACACATTTTAGACCAATAATTGCTGTTATGTACCAAGTGAGAATCCTATGTTTGCATATGTTGGCTACTTTCCTACTTATGTTTGCCAGAAAGAGTCATATCAGTGATATAATCTATGGTCGCAAAAACATCTTCATAGTTATTTGTACATATCATCCAGTCCTACCTACAACAGTCCAGTGTGGTCAGGCCAATGGCATGTGGCAAGTTACTGTTGTTGAATACAGGATGGCTAGTTAAAGCATCAACAAAATAACCCCTTAACCCCTTTAACAGCAGAACCTAGCACTGTCTTGAGTTCCTTAAAGCTAAACTACAAGTGTGATTGACATGCTAAATACTTTCTTTTGGATCCCAAAGGCAGAGGATGTGAAAACATGGTTTGCATTATCTGTTAACACGTGGATGGGAGTCCTCCCAAGGGACTTAACAGCAGTCCAACCATATAGCCTGGGGCCCTGAGGAAACATCTGCGAAAAATCATGCTGCAGTTGGGGTACACAGTCATCCAGTACATCGATGATGTGATATTAGCATCCAACATGGAAGAACAGCATTAGAAAGACTGCTGCTCCTGGACCATCTCCATTTGTGAGGACACAAGTGCAGCCATAACTGAACATTAGTGAACCAGACCACAGTCATCCAAAGCACTAAAAAGTTAACTACTGTGGGAGAACTGAGGTTCCTTCTAGAACACTGGAACATGGTTTATGAGCATTCTCACAAACAGCTCCCTTAAACACTTAACTCCAAAACCCACTGAACCTATTGAACTGAATGAAAAATAACTAAAACTTTCTTTAAACTTAAGGGAGCACCTGGTAATCTTTCTTCCAGACACCACTGGACACCATTTTTGAGCCTTTGCATAATGTCGCTCTGGCACAGGGCAAGTGACCTGCCTTATGTGGACACTTCTTCTGGTGTAGTGCTGGACCAAAAGCTCAAAATCAAGTGTCCATACAATATACACATGCTGTTGAACCTAAGCAGGGTATCACAAGTGACATGTGAGAGATGGATGAGGTGGACAGTGATTCTAGAGGCTGCCAACATTCCTACTGAGAAAGCTCCAGCAAGCAATCCAGCCACAATGACAAAGCCCAATCCAGATAAGAGTGATGAGCATTATTGCATCCTACTTTTCCAGACTTAAGATGAACTCCAAAAAATCAAGGAAATCAATCTGGATTATCCTGACTTAATGCTGTATACGAATGGGTCTTCAGTTATACTATATGAGTAGTGTCAACCAACCACAAAGGGTTGCCTAAGGTGAAAAAAATCACCAAACTATTTCACCAAACAAAAATTACATTTCAGGAGAGGAAGAAAACAGCACTCACTAAACATTGACAAAATGCAGGAAAATTAATGCATACCCGACTTTGCTAGACATGCAAAAAGACACAGACCATAAAAAGAAATGAGCGTGGATGAGGTGAGGCAGCTATATGTTCGGCTGATCCAGAACATTACATTCAATTAACAATGTTTTTCTATGGAGATTTTACAAGTGATATCTGCCAAAGTGGGTGTTACTATGTCCTAATTTAGTAGGGTGTCCAAACATTTGCACATGCCAGAATTACTATTTTTTCTGACTTTTTTAAAATATAAAGTAATTGTTCATGAACATCTACAGCAAAAAAATTAAAATATTTGCTGAAAAGGTTGAAAAGGTTTAATTTTTTTTACTTTTAAAAAATGAACAAAATACGTAACCAGGGGTGCCTAAACTTTTGCATACAACTGTATGTCCAAAGGTTTCCTAAAACTAATTGGTGAATTCAACTACTTGAAGGCGCACCCATAGCTAACACAGGTCTTCAGTTGAACACACAACTTTTATAGCATTGTTAATAGAATTGGATGTTCTGGATCAGCTGAATATTTAGCCGCCTCACTCCATCCACTCTGACTTCTTTTCATGGTCTGTTTTTTTTTTTTATTTTCACCCTCTCTTCCTTGCAAAACACTTCTATTTCTGTGATATTCTTAGGATATCTTGCATGCACAGAATGTTTACATCTACCCACAGTTTTTTAATGATGTTCAAGGACTGTGAGGGCCACTGCAAAAGCTACAGCTTGTGTTTCTTGAAGTAGTTCATGGAGGATCTTGAGGTATGTTTTGGATTATTGTCCTGTTGTAGAAGCTATTGTCTTTTCAGCTTAAGTTTCTTTACTTACTGTGTCACATATGCTTCTAGAATTCGCTGATATTTAATGGAATCCATTTTTCTTTTTACCCATGCAATGTTTCCTGTGCCACTGGATGCAACACAACCCCAAAGCATAGATCATCCCCATGCTCCTTTTGTTCTCCAAACAAATCTTTGGTGATTGTGGCCAAAGAGCTCCAGATGTACTTCATTGGTGTACAGCACGAGCAGTTATATATGAGTGTTCTCTTGGTCTTCTAGATCTTGCCTTGCTCGGTTTAACTGTCATTTCTTAATGACATCTCAGACACCGAACATTGCAAGCTGGAACTGCTTTGGTATCTTTTTATAGAATTCCCTGCTTTGTACGCATCAATTAGCTTCATTTTCAGATCAGCCTGCCAGCTCCTTAGTTGTTGAGTATTAGCACAAGGTTTGAAAAGTCAGAGAATTTATTACACTCTGGAATTTTCATCAACTGACAATCCCTAATGACAACTCTTAACCTGCCTCAGCAGCGCTAACAAATCAATCAAGGCCTAATTATTTAATTTAGTTCTTAGACTTTACTCTGAGACTGGAAAGTTCCAAATTTTTATACATGCACAATAACTATTTAATTGTTTTCTATTTTTTATATTAATCAAATATAAAGTAACTGTGCATCAACATTTGCAGAAAATGCTGTTTATTGCAGAGTTTGCGTTTTATTCTTTTTCACTTCAAAAATAAACAAAATGTGTAGTTTGGCCAGGGATGCCCAAACCTTTACATACAACTGTACAGCATATTTGCCTACTTACAGAATTTTTTCACAAATGCAAGCAAAACAGCCATATAGTACTGGTCTGTTAGGGACAGGTCATCAGAAACGGTACCAAGGCTTAATACGTGCCATAAAGTATGACCTCGTTGTTAGAAGTTTATCTATACGTCTGTAAGGAAGAGAATTCTACTTACATCCCAGGGTAATGAACTGTGTTCGAGATATCTGATTTAGTTTAGCAGAAACAAGACCACAGTGTTTGTGGCATCTTGGACCCAACATTAGGCCCTATGTAGTTCTTATTTAAGATTATAATACTCCTTGGAGCTTCAGTTCTACTTGTCACCCTCTAAATGAACTGAAATTCATTATTAAAGTTATTATATTTAAAATATATTACCAAATATCAATAATTACTCAATATGTCTACAGGATAACTGTTATCATGTTAAGTGTTAACCAGTGAAATTAATTATGGGCTTTCAGCATACACTTACCCATCAAGAAGTTAGCTTTGGATGCTGACTGTCCGTAGTGTTGTTCTATGTATTTCGGTTTATATGTCACCATTCCTATCAAAGAGTTAAACTGGATGACAGTAACACAGAGGTACAAAATGTAGACTGGGTTCCCAAGGAGAGATCTCAGTGTTGGCAAAAAGTCTGCAAAACATAGGGAAATCTGTCAGCCTTATAATCTTTTGGGACTGAAGCCAATGTAAATTTATCTAAGGCGAGCTTTACACAGTGAAACTTTAATTGCCTGTTGTGAGTTTCATCCAACATAATTTCTTGACAGTTACATGAAGCAATTCAAAAACAGAGTTGCACATGACACATTCAAGTACTCAACTAGTTAGCTAAATTAGCAGCTTGTATATTTGATACACTACATTGTTCTATCTATTTAGGGTTCTTAACTACATATTTGTTTCAAATGAGTTGCATTTACATTATGCAATTCAAGTGCAATTTAGTTTCATGTAGGTCTCAAGCAAATAAGTTTCACCATGTAAAGCCAGGCTAAGAAGAGGAACATGAGAAAGTGTTCAACTTTGTGTAAGACTTTTATCTACCCTACCTTTGGCCAATCTTAAGAAGCTGGCTTGCTCATCTGCCTGGTACTTGTGGTCCAGGACAGGAGACTCCTTAATGAAGCTGGTCCGCTCAGGAGAGCATTTGGCTAGTCGTCCCTCTGACACAGGGAGAGACTTGGGTAGAAACCAGAAGGGCACTGCTGACACAAGGGTGATGAACCCTGCTATGAGGTAACCCAACCACCATGCGCCTACCCAGCGTGCATCTCCTGGTGCGATGACGCTAATGGCCTCTGAGGAAAAAATGAAAAACAAGAACACACATGTCCTAACCACTTAGAGGCTAAATCATTTTTTGGAAAAATTGTTTCTATCAAATAAAAAGCTTGCAGTGACAATCAGAGAAAAATTGTCATTTCTTTTTTTTTTGGATTTATGAGAACATTTATTCCCTCAAACACAATACGCGCAAGCACAACACACGCTTTTGTCTCCCTGCTGCTGCACACCACATGCTCAGAATATCTGGGCCAAGCAGTCAGGCAAGTAAAACAGTGGGAATACAGGCAGCGTTAGATCTCAACACTCTCAGATGTTTCTGTCTCCCATGTAGTCAACATTTATGCCACCACAGACTCAGGCTGAAGTGAGAGCTCCAATCCGTGGCTCAGATCCACATCAATCAGACCCCCACACGAATGTCACATGAATTTTGCATGTAGAAAACTGACATGAGCTTAAAAAGATAAACATAAACAAATGGCACAATAACATATAGGAGCATTTTTTTAATTAGAGCATAAAATTTAAATATGTATATAAATATATATTGTGTCAATTGTGTATAAATGATCCACCATCATGTAATCAAAATTATCAAGTGGAATTAGGACTAATATTGAAAAATACCTCTGGAAGGTCAAAAACATTCATATTTGATGCAATTTGTAATTGTTTGTAGTAATTCTGAAAATAATAAATGCAATTATTCAGTGCTCCTAGGGTGATTATTTATCCTTAAATAATTATTTGTTCTTTAGAAAATACCAATATTTAACAACTATATGTATCAAAGATAAAGGGATGAATCAACTAGAGGTGGAAAATTTCTTCAAGTACAAGTATTGACTTGTAAGGCGTGAACACTTCTACTCACCCATGTTGACAAATCCAATGTCCACATATATTTTTGCACAAAGGGATCCAAGCAGGTAACCAAACACTGGACCAATGACCGATATCGTCTGAACACACCCTGAGACATCATGAAAAGCATAGATGTGCCATAATGAGACTGGATGGAGGGCTAAAAACAGCTGTTTTGAGTGACACATTCTTTGCATACGTTGTAGAAATGGGTGACAAACTTTTTTATTTCCTTTTAGTGATTAACTTGTTGTTTGTAAAATTGTAAAACAATTGTAAAATTGTTCAATTTAAAGATGTAACATATTTTCTTTATGTTGTATGTTGCAGTCCAATCTTTATCTAAGTCACAACAGCAGACAAACACAATGCACTATAGCTATCAACAGAACAAACTCACAAAATTCACAAAACCTTCACAAAAAAGGGTTCTATATAACACTAAAAAGGGTTCTTCTATCACACCACCAAAAAGGGTTCTTCTATTTTTATTATGCCAAGCTTGTAACCATAGAAGAACCCTTTTTGGTGCTATATAAAACCCTTTTCTTCTATATAGAAGAAAATTTGGTTCTACATAAAACCATAGCATATTCTCCATCAATTTAAAGAACTCCTTCATGATGCAAAGAACCCTTTAATCATGCAAGGGGTTCTTTGAGTGTTCATCCTATATAGAACCATTGTCTTTACTAAAGAACCCTTGAAGAACCATCAGTTCAAGTGTGTTCTTAAATATTATGAAATATTAAAATTCCAAACTTATTAAAATATTAAAATTCCAAACATACCTGCTAAAGGTTTTCACATAATAATACACTGAAATATAGAGTCTAAAATGTTTTTTTTTCAAAAAATGAGAAGTGCAGTTCGTTTATGAAAAACAATTCTGAAAGACAATGAAATAGCAAAATTCTCTTGGAAACAATTTTAAATTGCTTTCTGGTGAAAAACTCATCATAATACAAAACCAAGCACATCACATGAAAAACCTTAACACAAACTGGCTTGGAGATTTGGGAACTAAATGGGAATTAATCAGTAAGCTAATTCATTCAGAGCGTAATTTTTTGTAGTAATTGTTAATCAATTAAATGTGACAGCCTTTATAAGCTCAGCAAATTTGGTTAATTAGTCATATTTTACACCTTAATCTCAACTGTTTAATAATATTATACTGTTCAGCTATTATACTGTTCAGCTGTATCAACATCCTTTGTGATTTTTGACCAAAATATTTGGATCCTAACATGTACGTTATGTTAAAGAATATTTAAATGAGTACAAAGCATGAATGTAAAGGCTTTTGCCCTTTCTCTTTTTTCTTTTTCAATTAAATGTATTCAGCACTTTAACCACTGTGGAAAGAAATCAATTTCTTTTTCAACCTAAAGTTAAATCTTGAGCTGTAAGACAGCATTATATTGAAAAACAGAAAGTAGCTTACATGTATCATATCAAGGAGACAAATTACCCAACCTAACCACTATCCAGATTTACAGCAAGCTCTGCTGATCCACTTTCCCACAGAACTGTATTAATTAGGAAATGAAACTCCTCAATCCACAAATCGGTCCATTGAGAAGTTAACAAATGCACTGTATCTGTCACAATAAACCAGTTCACTTCAAACCTACACAAGAAAGGTGAAGATTTAATACCAATATAGAAGGCTGCATTGTCCTCCAGAGCATGATCGTCAATGTATGAGATCCCCAAAGGCTGTATCGGGGTCTCACCGACCCCACGCAAGATGTTCCCCAGTAACACATAGATCCACATGGACAACTTGGACTCATTCTCGCAGCCTGGTGTAGCAGAGGGGTGGAAGTACAATTATAAACATAGTACATTTTCCTGACCTGAAATTAATATTCTTAAAATTAATTAATAACATTCTTCTATTTCAGCTTACTGAAGGACTGAGTGAACTGTACCTGTGTTTGGCACTGTAGAGTTCTGGTCGCCCACTAGCACATTAGGTGAACTTGCTAGACATGGAGTGAGGTTATTTGTTGAGTTCGCTGACAATCTAACTGATGTTTCAAACTCGTATCTGAGTATAAAACATCAGTATTTAGTGGTAAAGAAGAAAAGACATCCAAAACAATCAAATTCATTCAAACAGAAAACACACATTAGGGGCCATAGGCTGGATTCATGAAAGTGTCTTTTTTCTTTTTCTTAAGAAAATCATAAGGAAATAATTAAGATTATCTTATGAGTCTTATGAATCTTATGAATTTTTGAGAACTTATTAGTTGTTGTTTTTTTTTTTTGAGAATTGCACTTAAGAACATTCTTATAAACTTCTTAGTGTTTGTCTTAAGAACCTTTGCAAGTTTTTTCTTAAGAAAGCTTTTGTGAAAAATGTGTGGTACATCAGTTCTATCATCAAGTCCTACTTAGTGACTACCATAGCAGTGATTAGTATGCTGGCCTGGAAGTAAAAGCCAGTCAAAATTGACACATTAATAAGATAACACAAACCCAATTAAAATAAATAAATAAATAAAAAACAAAAAGCACTAATTTGTCTTTTACAGGTGTTTCACTGAAAACAGCACCAGGAAATTCTATTTAATATTTTACCTTATCAATTTTATTTATTTTTATAAATATATGCTAATTTCAAATTTGATTACCAGCAACACACAAAAAATGTATGACTGGGAAGTTTGTGGAATGATCAAAAACACCTGTTTTGGAACTTTCCACAGGTAAACAGTAGAATAGGCAACAGGTGGTGATGTAATCTTAACTGGGTATCAAAGGAGCATTCATGAAAGGCTCAGTTGTCATTTTGTGAAAAACTGTATGAGTGAGTAGACCACCAGTCTAAGAACAACGTTTCTCAATGTGCAATTGAAGGATTTCACCATCTGCAGTCCATAATGTTATAAAAAGATTCAGAGAATGCAGAGAAATGTCTGTGTATAAAGGACAAAGTTAAAAACCAATGCTGAATGCTTTTGACCTTTGATGCCTCAGATGTAATGAATAGAACCACATGGGCTCCAGAGTGCTTCAGAAAACCCTTGTCAGTAAACACAGTTCACAGGTCTACAAATGCAAGTTAAGACTCTACTATGCAAAGCAGAAGCCATTTATCAACAACATCCAAAAACACAGCCAACTTTTCTGGGCTCAAGCTCATCTCAGATGGACTAACGCAAAGTGGAAAGGGTGCTCTGGTCTAACGAGTCCAGTTTTCTAATTGTTTATAGAAATAATGGACGTTGTGCTGTCTGGGCCAAAAAGGACCATCTCAAATTTTACCAATACAATGTTCAAAAGTCAGGGTTGATCATAGTATGGTGATTTGTTAGTGCCAGTGGCATGGGTGACATTTGTAAAGGCACCATTAATGCTGAGGGGTACATACTCATTTTGGAACAACATATGCTAGACAAAGTCTTTGTCAGGGACACACTAAATATCTTGAAACATTAAATATCTTGTCTTTGTACTGTTTTCAATTGAATACAGTTTAAAGATCATTTGCAAATCACTGCTGTCTGTTTTAATTACATTTTTCCTACTGTCCCAACCTGTTTAGAATTAGGTTTATAATTACCTATGCTCAGGTCTGTCTGGGGGAAAAATGGATGTTATGTCAGAGAAAACCAAAAATCTCAGAATCAGGACTACAGATTCTAAGAAAAAAAAGTAGAAGAACAGAAGAAATTTTCTAATATGAACTCCAGGCATTTACACTGGGGACCACTGGTGAAAATGCTTCTATATTGCATTCCTTTTTAATATGATAGAACATTTTTCATCACAAATGTTAGTTTGAGTGAAAAGTAGAATCTTTGAATGTTTACATGGATTTCAGAATTTCTTAGTATTTTAGCATGGACTTCAGAACTTTGTGCAAAAGCATCTGATCAGTAGATCAATTCCACCTGAGAGTCTTTTGAATGTGTGTTTCAATGGAAGGAATAAATTAAAAAAACATCTGACGTTTTTGTATAAAGGCCTAAACACGGCCAATTTCACAAATCTGCTTCAATTTGAGCAGAAACAGATTTTCAAACATTTTTTTTTTTCATTTTTCATTTTGTCATCATTTTTCTTTGTTTTATTTTTTAAAAGATTCTATTTTTTGTTGTTTCTTTCCAAGTTTAAATAAAAAAATATCAGCATGATCTACGACTTTTGGACTCCACAGTATATCAAATAAAAAAAAATCTTAATGTTAAAAGAAACAGGCCACAGCTCTTTCCAATGGCTTTTCTCTTGGCACTTAACATAAAGGTGTTCTCAAAATTGATGAACTAACACTTCTCAAAGACCAGAAGATTGACATATAAGAAACACTACTCTGGAATTGCTCTTTAAGCTTTTTAGGGAGGCATGTCATTAAAAACAAGCATATTGTTTGGACTAACTAACATGTGCTTTAATATTGCACCCTTATCCATTTTCAAGGTTGAGAATACTTGCTGGTATAAACAATCTCTCAGCAAAGAGTCATTTTGAGTCATTTTAATTAACATAAAAAAGTCTGTTTAGCCCATATTTGAACTCTAATCAATTTTGCATATTAGAGTATATCCTTTTATTTTTACACAGCAAAAGCTGGTATCTTGGCAAGTAAACTTATCTTAAAGCTAGCTGATACATCTACTATATGCTAAAGTTTGAACATCCCCAACCCCCAAGAAGAATTATGTTTTGTCGATTTTCTAAGTGAAAATAAATTAACACGTCCTCTGCAGAGAACACACCTAAATATGGCATTTTCATCACATTTATTGAGCACAATTTCTATTTCAAAATTTTAACATATTTTCGAAAAAAACAAGACAAAACTAAAAATAAAACACAATATGTGAATGTGCTACAACTATTGCATTTCAATTGCGTTCTCTGTAAAGGATGTGGTAACTTATCTTCTCTTAGAAAATACACAACAAAAGAGACATGAAAGTTGATCAGGGGCGTCCAGACTTTTGCATATAACAATATTTTCTTGAGACAAGCAAAATCATCTGTCAATATAGTGAGGTAATGTCACTTAATAAAATCACTTTTAAAAAGTAAACAATGCCTATACATAAGTCAAATAATCTGATATCAAGCAATCTCAAAATGAGAAATATAGATATATCGACTAGATTTAACATCATTTTACTTGCCAATATACTCTTTTTGTAGTGTACTAAGTCGGATATTTAAATTACATACATCCTGACCAACGAACAACATTCTAACATCAGTTTTTAACATGCTCAAATTAAAAAGCATGAACTTCCAAACAGTGCCTTTAACAGGAATAAAGAATAGTAAAAGCAGATTTAGCTGTCTGAACCACTGACATGCTCATTGTGCTCAATTTATATGTTCCCCGGGACTAACAAACAAATAATAAAATGTTGATGGAGTGAGATTACTGTCTTTAATGTGAGAGCGCAAAGACAAGGTTAAATCGAGCAAGTCAGAAAAACGAGCGCGCAGAATCAAGAAAACCGAGCGCAAACAGCGACACCGAGAGCACAGAAACAAGAACTGCGCGCTTCAGACGCAGCACACCGGGGGTTTAGTGTGCTCGCTAATCGCAGCTCCGCGCTCGTTTTGTACGGAGCCCCGTAGGGGTCAAAATTGTGAGGAGGAAAATCTGTCCCCGCAGTTTAGTAATGCGTACTCTCAGTTTATAAACTGTGACCACGGATTTGTAAACTGTACTCTCGGTTAGCAAAACTGTACCGACGGATTTGTAAACTGTACTGTACTGAAATGACGCTCATGCACGTGATTTCAACGTCGATTGTTTACTGGGCTATAAATATCCAGAAATTCTTGCATAGTCAGGGTTTAATGTTATTCCTTTTAAAATGCAATGTGCTCTTCGGGCTGAAACGCCATTCAGGCGTCGCTGGCCTGGAGTATTTTTGCCTCGTTTTAAACAAATGCATTCACATAATACATTTCTACAAAACACTCCAGTTAAGCAGTAAGGTTAAACTGTAATTTAATGAAATGTTAAAGCCGTTGAAAACGGTGTATGTGAAAGCTACAGCACAATAACCTACCACCACGGTAAAGTTAGTTTAATTTTCGATATTCGTCTTTTCGGCGCTAATAACATTTGATCGGACTACGGTAGTCAGTAAAGACTTACATATTCATGACAGAACGACCACAGAGAGCGATGCACACCTGTTCTTTTGCGGTTTGGGTGACATTTAATGTACCGCTCTTTTTGTGTTAATACCGAAAAAGTGAGACGAGATTTCCAATCGGAATAAAATGCATGAGTTTCTAGACCAAACCTACATCACACGCATTTGTTTTCCTCCAAATCGTTTCAGTGCTTTTAAAAACAGATTTTATTGTTTCCTTTAACAGCAGATTCTGATACTTATTCTACTGTAATACCTGTAAAAAGTGATGTTACCTGTATACTGACATACAGTTAGCTTGATGAAGACATTCAGTCTTTAAGGCTGTCTTATTTAATTTAAGTAGAATTCAAGTTTATAAATACACCAAACGCTCAGTTTGTCAAGTTAGAGGCGGTCTTCAAATAGACAGCTGGGGGATATAATAGCACACCTGCAGTTCTTTTGGAATGAATAACACTATAATATAATATTTTTAATTCTTTTAAACTTTTATATTCAAAAAACAATATGGATGTAATCAAATACCTAATTTACATCTTGCCATTTCAATTGCAGTTCAACCACATTAAATACAATGCTAAAATCCACTACAAACGGTGCAGATAATTGGGAATTATGACAAACATCTCTATTTTAAATGTAATACTTTACATTGTTTTTCCTTTTTGAATTTCAGTAGGGGCAGCACGGTGGCGCTGTTGCCTCACAGCGAGAATGGCCTGGGTTCGATTCCCGGCTAGGCGACCAGGGTCATTTCTGTGTGGAGTTTGCATGTTCTCCCCGTGTCTGCGTGGGTTTCCTCCCACAGTCCAAAAACATGCCGTTAAGCTAATTGGACATGATAAATTGCCCCTAGGTGTGATTGTGTATGTCTGTCTGTCTGCCCTGCGATGGACTGCAATGACAGCTGGGATAGGCTCCAGCA